ATGCACTAGAGACACAGCTACAGTTTATGTTGAAGTGAGCACACCATCCAAGATGAAATATCAAGTTCCAAGAAAACAACAGGAAGATGGCCCCAGAAGACAAAGCACTCAGTGAATGTCTCCGACAGTGGAAACTGGAAGAGAAGGAGCTGAAGAAACCACTATGGGAGGAAAAATCCCTGCATGGGATGTACCACCGAAAGATAGCTGAAGTGGCTGATCTGACCAGGACTGAACGGCAGCATAGAAGCACTGATCATGGCAGCAGAGGAGAAGGCCTTGGGCACCTAAGCAAGTGAGGCCCAGATCTACCATACCAGGCAAGATCCCAGGCGAAGGCTGTGCAAAGAGACTCCAGAAACAATCCAGCATCTCACAGCAGGGTGTAGGATACTAGCAGGAAAGGAATACATGGAATGCCATAACCATGTAGTATATTGCACAGAATCATCTGTACGGAATTGGCAGGTTAAGGCAACTGTGGTTCCCGTGGTCATCAGAGCACACGAGGCAGTGACCCCTCATGCAGGAGAAGTGGCTTCAACAGATACTGTACCTGGAGAAGCATCTGACAGTCCTGAAAAGCAGTCCTAGGAACAGCTAATATACTGCAAAGAACCCTCATATGCCCTATATTTAAAAGTATTTGTTTTATAAGTTTTATAATGGGGGGAAAAGCCTTTAAAAATGCCAGAATTTGCACATAACTTTCTATTTTTTGTCAGTCTGATGACATTTTAAAATATTAAATCACATGTTATGACAGTACTCAAGTAGCCATTTTACAAAATACTTTCTTACTCTTGAGTGATTTCTCAGACAGGTAATTTTTACTTTTACCTGAGTAAAATATGCTGAACTAGTGCGATTTTTTACTTGAGTACAAATTTTGGGTACTCTGCCTGCATCAGTGTAAGGTGCAGTTTGTATCAGGGTAGTTGGGTGTAGTTCACTGGTTTTGCTAGTTGAAAAGAGGGTAAGAGTTAAGAAACATTGTGTAATAGGATGTGTTTGTATGTGTGTGTGTGTGTGTACAGCGCCCTGAGACAACAGTTGTTATGACTTGGCGCTATATAAATTAATTGAATTGAATTTAAATGAAGTTGACAGTTCACAGCAACAGCTGGGGGTTTACAGTGCTTTCAACCCCCCCCCCCCCCAAAAGAACCACTCTCTGTGATAGAAAAGGAGTTTCAACCCCAAGAAGGGTGTAAAATTGTGGTTTTAAGCTTTTTAACACTAGTATACATTGCAGCTGGACAATGGAACATGCCTAATTGTGATATGATGGTTTGCAAAAGAAAGAAAAGTGTCTGACTTGGTTTAGGTGACAACATTATGCAATTATTAGAGCTGTCTCCCAGCAAGAAGGTCGCAGGATTGCCTCCCAGCCTTTCTGTGTGGAGTGCTTGTTGTCCCTGTGCATGTGTGCGTTTCCTCCCACGTTAGATTAATTTATAACTCTAAATTGTCCCTAGGCATGAATTCAAGTGTGAATAGTTTGTTTCATTTGTCTCTACGTGACCCTGTGATGGACTTGCAACCAGGGTGTACTCATCCTSTTGCGCAGTGGCTGCTGGAAATAGGCACCAGCTGACCCCGTGACCCAGAAAAGAAAAGTTGGTGAAAGAAAATAGATGGATGGTGTGGTGCATTGAATACCTGTGCAGATGACAGCATAAATGGCTTTCGTTTAAAAACACATACTAGTTTCATTCAGCATTCTGTAGTATGGGCTATTTAAAAAAAAGACCATTGACCTCTTTATAGAAGAAGAATTACAAAAACAAGAATAAAAGTACAAAGAAGAAACACCTAGAGAGCAACAGACACACTGAAGTGGGTCTTCAACAGACGTTACCTCACTTCGTTTTTAACAATATCTCCCCAGCTTTGGACCCAGGTCTGCTGAAAGCTCTTTGTATGATGGCTCAGGCTACTTGATGAATGAGTGTGCCACGCAGAACTGCAGCCTTTGAGACTGGAACGCTAGGTTCAGAGATTACCACTGAGGACGACCACGGTCAGCAAATCAATTCACAGCTCTCGAGAGAAGTCATCACTGCTTGCAAACTCATCTGCCTTCGACATGAACAAATCTCTTGTCAACACTCTTTCTCATGCTGCCTGTGGGTCGTTGTCCTGTCTCCTTTTGTTTCAGACTGGTTTGACTGAAGAGACTTCATCTGCACAATATCTGAACTGCAGCCTATTCTGTGGGGCAGGATATGGGAATGTCAGTAGAGATTTAATTAACACCTGAAGGCTGTGTAAGCCTTTCACAGTATGCGCTGATAACAGCCAGCTTACATCCAATTGGAATTTCGAAGCAATTTCGTATGCCTATTAATAGTTTGGATGTGCTGGGACAGCCAGATCAGAGATTCTTGTGTAGAACTTTGATTACAACATCAGAGGAGCTGCTATCTCATCGTGGGAAAAGGCTGCTGTGGACTGAGTGGAGTTTTGGCTCATGGGCAAAAAACAACTCTTAATTTTACATAATTGAGCTGTGCTTGGGAATTCTATGGCTTTTAATACAAAATAAACTAGCAGTTCTTGAACCCTTTAACCCATAAATATGCACAATAATTAGCAGTAAATGTTATGCTGTTTTTTGGGCATACAACTTAACGTTGGTATTTGCTCTCACATTACATTTTCACTGGTCATTCTTCATTTCAGGTTGGAGCACACTGATTTAATTTAAATGTAAAAAAATAAAACTATATATAGCTATTTGCATTTTGTTTCACACAGACAAAAATTGATTTCTCATAAATACTGATGATGTGAAAAATGACACCATTATTTTTATGGTGGTTCGCACTAATGATCATTTCAGCGTGATGATTCCACAAGTCTGTGATGTAAATGAAAATTCAGAGGGTATCTGAAATGTAGTTTTTGCTGCTGTTTCAGTGAGTAAAGGGATGTCACCTCCCTCATTTCAGCATTGCCACCAGGAACTGGGAATGGCCATTAGTATAATTTTTCATAGGCACTGCCTGAATTATATGGGCAATTTCCACAGCAGTCTCCTCACTGCCTCTGCTTTGGCGACTGTCTGCCTTCACTGGCATGAAAGATGCTAATATGGTTTTATGTGCACTAGGAACCTGTGTGTCTGCACTAACTCATCTGTTTTCTAAATCAACACTGAGAAATAAAAACTTAGTTCGGTTTAAACCTCAAGGATATGCATGCATAGTTGTATATTTTCTTTTCTTTGCAGTTCTTAAATATGTTTAATCATTTTATGGGCTGCTTTTCATAGAAACCAAATTCACCTAAATTAATTTGAAGCAATTTTCAAATCAGCTGAAAAAAATTAATTGTGTGGAATTGAAATTACTTTTAAAAGTACTATATTAATCAGTAAGGTAATAAAAAAAACACCAGACAAACCAAAAAAAAAAAAAAAAAACAGTTTCACAAAGGATTTTTACTGTTTAGCTGATGGAACCTTGTAAAATAAAACTATYTGAGGGAGGACCTTTTTCTCACACCATCAGTGAATGTGACTGTGGCAATTTTCATCTTACTCCACAAATTGTATTTTTCTAAAGAAAACTAAATCACAAAATGCAATAATTATGATTAATTTCTTWTAGGCCGAATATTATGTCAAGATAAAAAACATTTTTTCATGTAGAAGGGTCCATAAATATAACTCAAATCATCATCTAAAAAAGCTGTCTTTTGAGCTGAGGAATGTCAAACTCATTGTTTTTGTGCCAGATAATTTGTGTATTTTTTATGTCTTTCCTCAAAAACAGCCTTAATGTCAGCAACATGATGGAAACTCTGGATATACTGTATCTTCCTAAACACTGTMGATTTAAGACAGAAGAGTTGTTGAAGGAAGTATTTGGTTGTTACTCAGTGGTATGAAAACATATCAACTACCGTCAGACTGCCTTCTCAAGTGTATTCATAATAAACTGTTACAAATGTCAGAAAAAAAGAGTTGTAGTGTTTATAAAGTTTAATATTTCCTATTTGCTCCTCTATTTATTTTTGATTATGTCACTTTAAATGTAGTTTCTTGCCTAACAGGGAATTACAAATGCTAAATCAAGCGTCACAAATGAAGGTTCACTGCGCTTGTCAGAACTAGATGGAAATTATTCATGCGATATGAATCTGTTCCTTCCAGGATGAGAGTGAATGTCATTTGCAGTTTAAGATGCTTCTTCACTAATAGATACAAGAAAATTTCTGTTCGGGAAGTCACCGGGTTTTATATTCATTATATCAGCTGCGTATCACCTATGTTTAGAATGGTAAGTCGTGTTATAGAAGGTATTTTTTTCTAAAAGTTCTTTGTTTGGTCTTTTGYTACATTGCTACCTGAACTTATGCCTGATTTTTAACTTGAATTTAYRCATTCAGTCTTTTTTTTAACATTTRTTTCAAGGGGTTACACAACACAACTTGTTTTAATGTTGCATACGACTGGTTGACAAGCACCATGTACAGTGCAATGCATGAAACAAACGAACCAGGGTTGCTAAGGTTTTCTCTACCAGTGCGAAAACCATGCACCACTTGGCTTTTACCTCACTGAGGTAGTATTTAAAGACTTTACCCTCAGCTCATTGTGAGCCAATTTCATGGCTGATATCCTCAGTGTGAGGGAGTACGACAGGTCAATTCAAGCCAAGCAGGAAAGACTTGGCCCTGTGGCTTCAGAGGACTCTGGCAGTAGTTTCACTTTCAGCTCAAAGTGCTGCTGTTTAACAGGGTCAAGAGCAAAACCATATATACAATTTAAGGATTAATTAGGCTTCATTGCACTGATGTCAACAGTCTTGCATTGCTGTGAGATGGAATTTTTTTATGTGTTTGTGCTAAAATGCAAATTAAAGCAAAAATTCTGATGATAAGCAATTGCTGTGAAATCAAAAACGTTGAAACAAKGTGTGCTCATCACACAGTTGTGTTCTAGTTATGCGAGTGAACTAATATTTAACTTTTGTGTCTTTTTCTCACTGCAGGGTGATGATGTTCTAACAGTCATCAAAATGAAAGCTCAGTGGCCAGCYTGGCAGCCCTCAAATGTGTAAGTAAAACCCAATGCTTCAATATGTAGATATTTCATTTCCTTACCGTAAACAGAATGCTGTCTACCAAAATAAGTTTCTAACAGTCATGCTAATAAATAATGTTTTAAGAAATTATTTTTTCATTATTTACTTTACTATATCTAGTAATGACTGGTCTAAGGCCATAGTAGAAAAGGCCAACTCAGAGAACCAACTCAAAACAATTCAACAGCTGTCAAGTTAGAACACAGACACACAGAATGTACCTAAGGAAAAAATAAATTAAAAAATAATAATTGTGTATA